TTATACTAGATGGTAAAGATTAATAAAATTTGTTAATTTGTAATAATTAACATTTTTTTAGATAAATATTTGATACGAAATGCATCAGAAAAATTTAGAAAAATTGATAACTAAAAATAAAAGATATTTATAATTTAAATTTTTTTGCCGGGTGATGCTTTTTTTTTGTGAGCCAGTAAGTGATATAAGTTCCGATGAATTTTGGTTATTAAATCACTGAATCTTATAGTAAATATCCGAAATTAGTTTCGGAGGAAATATATTTCGGAGGAAGTTTAGGATTTTCGGAAAAGATTTCGGTTTCGGATTTGGATTTTGGAGTTAATTACAGCTAAAATTGTAAATTGTTAAACTCCTTTGAACTATAAACTAATAATAAATTTTTCTATTTTTGCGATATACTTTTTTTTTTTAAAAAAAAAATAAAGTTACATATATTACTGGATGAATCTTTAAAAATAGGATGATATCTATCAAAAATAAGCCTTACTAGTCAATTCTTTGTCGTAGAAAGCTTTGCATAATCCATTCGGTTCTAAAATTTTCTCTGTTACAATTTTAAAATTCTATCATTTTATAAACCTTTAAACGATGGAAGATATGTAAGTTATTAGAAAGCGCTATAAATATAAATATATACTTATATTACGTCTTGATGTTAATGATTAGCAGAATTAATAAGGAAGAATTAAAACCAAAACAACTAGACAAAGATAAAATGAAGCCCTTAAATCCCATATAACGACCTTCAAAGTTAAAGGTCACTGGTCCATCATTACCCGCTTTGGCAAGATATTACAAAACGCTCTTTACACCTAACTCGGTATTATAACTCAAAAGAAAACTCGAAGATCACTGGTTCCATCATTACCCGCTTTGACAATTTCTTCACAGGAAAATGCATTGGCAACCGGTTATTTGCTCCAGACAAAACGTCTTTTGGTTGTAGTTCAAAAGAAAATAATGATTCCAGAATAGTTAACGTTAAATTTTTGTTATTTATTTGTTTGTAATAAATCTGTTCCGATAAACTTCATGGGTGATCGGTTGCTCATTTATTTTGGGGATGAAATAAAGTCAAGAGACAATGTTACTTTCGGTGTTATTATTTAGATCCGCGGGAGAATTTCATACAATACACATTGTGACTTTTATACTAAAATTTGTGTAACAATAAATTAAAAATCAATATCAAGTCGGTCAAAGCATTCTCTCTTTTAATAAAATAAACAGTACATTCTAGAAGCCAAACCTTTCGTGCTTTGTGAACAAATCAAATGACCTGTTGGCGTGTTAAGTTGACTTTCCAATCTGCTAAAATCCAATTAACGAGAAATGTAATACAGTTTGTAGAACTGGCACAGAAATATTATGTCTCGGCCTTTACTTATTTAATTAGATCGTCCATGAACTGCGAACTTAATAATAAACAGACAATTAGATTATTCGAACAAGCGTAATGAAAAAGTCATAACATGCCATTTATAATTTTTGATATAATGAGAGGTGCCTCAAATAGATGATTTCTTAGTGCAAAGATATTCTAAAAATAATACATTTAATGCTTGCATTGACCATTTCATAAGTTAACAGAAAATAATTAACTTGATCTGAAATTTAAATGTAATTTATTTAAGCAAGCCTCTATAAAATTTCTCTTCAGTCGCGTTTAGATAAACGACGGGACGAGCTTTCTATTTATCAATGTATAGACTAATCACAAATAAAAAAAAAGTCATTAATGACTGAATTATTACAGATCCGATAATATATCGATAATTTTAGACACAAATTAAACTTGATGAACGAATAGGATTTTATTTTATTTTTTTTTTTTTTTTAGGAAACTCGAATATTCTAAATAAATCGATGTGATAAAGCCAATTCAAAACTTATCAATTAATATTAGTTTGAAAGTTATTAAAAAACGTTGATATTCGACTCGTGTAACCATGTTCGTATCAAAAAAATTTTTATATTTTGAATCGTGGCGTAAAGATTTCAAAAAGACAAATTGGGGATTTTGTTTTGTGTTTTGCACATCCCAATCAAACGTGCATTAGGAGTTTTGATAATGTTAATACAAATCATGAATTTTGGTGGTTCATGGTCTCTCGAACATATTGGGTATTATCAGTAGCATTCAAAGTATGTTATTGGAAGGTAAATTAATTTCCAAGATATTTTAATCTACTTTTATTTTGGTATTTTACCAATAGGGATTGTTATGGCTTGTATTTTTTTCGTGTAGCAAATTCTCGAAAAAAATAGGTACATTTTCTATTATCGTCAAATGGAAAAAAAAATCCGATTCGATTTTTAATCGTTGATCTTTTCCTCGTTAAAGGATTAGAATTCAGAGACTCATTGGGAAAAGTATGCTACAAACCAAAATTTTCTAATCATTGTTGTATATATATACATAACAAAGTCACGGCATTTAATAAAATCCTATTTCGTAGTTTTTTTTTTTTTTTTGTTTATTTATTAGTAATATTATTTAATAACAAGTGTATAACTTTCCAAAATAGGAAATCATCAAAAACTGTCGATCAATATGTAATGATTACCATTTATAAATGAGAATAAATTTTTTTTTTCTCTTTTTTCTTTCAATTCGTTCTAAAGAAGAATCTAAAAGCATGTGAAACCATTTGGAGTAGATCATCTTAACCTAACAGGGTCGCGTGAGAGAAGTTAATAATATTATAAATACTTGCTAGTTATAACCCATTCGATTCTTCAAACCTTTTGTTACTTAATTATGACATCACCAGAAAATTTACTTGTATGTTCTACAGCGGGAGAAGTATTTGCTATCAACAAAACAGACGGTACACGAGTGTGGAACTCTAAGCTCTCCGGTGTAGGATACGGTGTTGGAGCATTATTCGTCTTTGATAATAAAGTCTATGTCGGGATGAATGGCCATTTAATCGCCCTGAACTTGGCTGATGGAGCAGTGATCTGGAATAACCCGCTATCAACAATGTGGTGGAGCGAAGTATCGGTACTTGTTACCAGCACAAATTCAAATTCAAACGCATCATCATATAAGCCTCAAGGTTCTGTTGTTTTAGTCGGTTCTTTCGGAAAAGTATGTGGAATAGACCCTGAATTAGGAGGGACACTTTGGAAAAACGAGTTGAAGGGCGCCGGTTATGAATTGCCTTGCCTTATGTTAGATTCATCAGCTCCTGATGCAGTTCTGGTCGGATGTGGTAGAAGACTATATAAAATTAATATTTATAATGGACAAGCTATCTGGAAACATAAATTATCTAAAGCCATATTTGCACCTTCTTGTGTCACGATGGCTACCCAACAAAGTAGTTTACAGGCTGCGTTTACGTACACAGGATTTAACAACAACCCTGTTGCTCAGCAACATAGAAGGCATGAACGAGAGAAGAATTCGGGCGATTAATAAACTTTCTGACTTAATTTATTGTTGTTATATAATAGAACTTGGCGAATGAAATTTATTAATGGTATTGGTATCTAAAGAACGAAATTTATTAAAAGAACTTTTCAAATTATGACAACTATTTAAATAATTCATATATTAAAAATTTCTACTATCATTTAATTTTGATTTAATGCTTACAATAATATAAACAGTAAAAAATTAAAGTTGATTACTTATTAAATATTTGTTTAAATTATTTAAAAAAAAATTCTATTCATATTTTATAAATGTATTTTTTTTTTTTTTTTGGCAATTTCTATTTATATAAGGGGTTTTGAATCTTATCCAATATCACCACAAAAAAATACAAAAAATATTACTAAATAACATAAAGTTTAATTAATCAGATAAATTTGTTTTTAAAATTTTTTTTTTAAGAACTTTTTTATAAATTAACAGAATATTTATATTTTTATCTAATAAAATTGAAAGGTAAAAGTAATAATAATTAACAATTTTTTGGAATAAAAAAAACTTAAATACATGATTTTTATATATTAATATTTCATAAATTAAAATACAGATAAGTTTATTAGTAAAATAAGAAGAAATCTAAATTTAAATTTGATCAATAAAATAGATTTTCTTCTTTCTACTAATAAATTTATTCTCTATTTAATACATTATACTGATCATTTAAAAATAAAAATAATGTAATACAAAATATTTTTGGTAAATAATCAAAAATTGATAATTGAGACATAACTAATTTATTTTTATTTTAATTATATTTTTCTTATTTTGAGTTATATTCAAATTTTAGATTTCTTTCTTTTTTATTTACAAGTACCTATATTTATAATATTAAACTATATAATACATTTATTAACGTAATTTAGCAAAATCTTAAAAAATATATATAAAGATAAATATATAATTATATCATTATAATAAGAATATTTTATGATGTTATCATTTTAATTATTTTATTTACAAATTTATAAGCAATTTTATTTATAAATTAAATTATTTTAAATTATTTTAAATATTTTAAAATATATTATTAAAAAAATATATATTTAACTAGTAATTTTTTAAAGATAAATAAATAATAATTATTAAAAAAATTTTAAATTTAAATTCATATATCTTGCTATATATTAATCTCAAAAATATAAAAATATTATCATTTAATAGGTCTTAATAAGATGAATCCAATAAACTAAATTTTATTTTTAAATAATTATTATATAATATATTATTTTTAAAAATTGAAAATTTGAAAATTTGATATATTATATATTAATAATTATTAATTTTAAAAATTTAAAAATATTATTATTAAATGTATTTTAATATGAATATCTAATAAACTTTATTATTTTTTTTATAATCATTAAATATTAAATATTTTTTTTTTATATGCAGTAGCTCTAAACAATCTTTATTAAAAGTAAAGTAAAAAATTACAAATTACAAATTTGAAAAGTACTTAAATTTCTATTTAGTAGAACTAAATCAAAATTAACTTTGCACTATTCCAGACTAGCTTATCCTAATCTAATTTAAAATAGGTTCAACTATCCAGTAAAGGGACCTGGTTACTATTGATCTAAAAATTTGACCAATTAGAACTGAAGTAAAAGAATTTATAGAATAAAAGTAGGATAATAAAAGAATGAGAAATAGTGTCAGAAAAATTAGTAGACATTGTATTACTTTTTTATTTAATAATGATATATTATGATTAATCTCAAATTAATTTATAGTAGAATAGCATGCAATCCAAAAGAACTTAATTTTGATATATATAAAATAGTAAGTTAAAGAGAGTAAACCAAGAATAAATGATTTATTGTTTACTATTTAGTATAATTGCTTATAAAGAGAAGATAGTATAATACCTTTGATAAAGTTCATAAAATGAAAAGAGAAATAACTTGATTTGAAGTTCTAAATGTCTATAGAAATGATATTTAAAATGTCAAAATGAGGATTAAGCTCAATCAGATATTGGAAGAGAAAGGCAATAGTGTTCAAAATTATATTATTAATTTAGTGTAAAATGATCTGATATTGCTAAATATACTTAAAAATTTCCATATTAATCAGATATTTAGGATAAGACTATGATGAATTATAAACGTTAGAATGATATCATTTGAGAATCTCAAGTATTAGAAGGAGTTCTAATAAAGTTTGACTTTAAATTTGCAAATAGAGGAGGCTTTGTATGATGTAACTAAGGCACTTTTATTATTATTAAGAATAAAAGCAGTGCTAATCCAGTTCACATTTAATGAGAAATATTTACGAAAGTATAAAAGTAATAATTTTTGTATTACTTATTTAGTAATGATTTTTATATAATATTTATAAATATTTTATAAGTTTTTATTAATTAATTATTCAATATTCTATATTTATAAATTACAAGAATTAAAATAAGAATAAAAGTAATATACAGAATAATAACTTATCATAAAATATTATAATTTATAAATATATAAAAAGGTTATACAGAAATTTAAATGAAGAAATTAAATAAATAAAGTCATAAAATTCTTATAGATAATAGCAAAATCAAAAAATTTAATATATAATAAATCAGTATAAAATTAGTATATTATCAAAAATCAGCTAAAATTCAACTAAATTGATTAATATATATTAAGAATCTGACTTATTTTATTTATAACTGATTAAAATTTATTAAAAATCAGCTAATTTTTGATTTATCTTATTTATAGCTAATTGAAAATTAATTAATATATATTAAAAATCAATTAAAATATATTATAAATTTTATCAAAATAAAATAAATTCAAAAGAAAGTATAATTAAATATTTTATATTTTAAATCATAAAATTTATAATTAAAAAACATTCAATTTATTTAATTATATTATTATAAATAGTAATTTTTTATTAATTTGATAATAGTTAAATATTATTTCATTTTTTATTAAATTAAAATTTAATAGTTTACTATTATAAATCAATGATAAACTGAATTATACTCATAATTCAATATTACATATTTCTTTTTTATTAAAATAATATCAAATATTTCATAAGCTTGCAAATTAATATAAGTAAAATATATATATAAAAATATTTAGCTAGTTTAAATAGTAAATAACTACAGTCCCCGCCGAAAGTAATGGCGGTGGAGATATTAAATAATATTTTGGTCACAGTTTCTCTGGTGTTCTGATTTGACGCATTATTAATTAGGCCGATTTAGGCAA